TATCTGTAAACAACATCTTCTTCTGTTCGATTTCACAAGATGTGTAACAGCGCCCCCCATCTCATCAATGGCGGAGGAAAAGTTAATGCTGACTAGAGATAGCATTTTATTGAATTCAAATCCAGTAGAGTTGAAAAGATAAGCCGATTACTTTCCTGTTTATTGACTAATTAAGTAATCCGCCATTATTTTGCTGTCTGATTATTCGTTTTAGTAATTTTTTCAAGCAAAAAATGCCAAACACTCACTAGTTCCTGCTCTTTAATTATGATTTGCTGCTTTTCTTTGTTTTACATTATAATAATTCAATATCTTTGAGTTTTAGACTGCTGATCCGACATAATATAAAAATTAAAGACGTCACCTTGTGCTCTGAGAAATTGTGATGGGCATTTTGTACACTTAACAATAAATCTTAAAGAGCATATAATCTGCAGATTAGTTGATAATGAAAGTAATCGTGAAAATCAGCCCTTAAAGTCCAGTATTGGATCAGTGTGTCACACAAAAGCCTCTTGATTCCTCCATCACATCTTCTAAGATTTAGTTTTTTAAACATGTGCATGTAACTTAAGGCTGAAATAAGTACAACCACCTACAGTGTGCCTTCTGTCGAGCATCAATGTGTGAATTGCATTTGGGAAATGGGACATGTTTCCATCAGTGGGAGGCATTAGCTGCAGCATATTCAGGGCCTTTACAGTAAATTGAACTGACCAACATTTAGTCAGCTCTGATGGAGATCACAGCTGAACCTCTTAATATGAAGCTGTTCAGTCCAAAGTAATCCTACAACTCAGATCTCCATTATCTGTGTTGGTTATAACATGTTACAGAGTGACTGCCTCATGTATGTGGTGACACAGCTGTAGAGTTCAGATGAAACCTTTTACCTCAAATCTTAAAGTTACAATAAATGGAAGCAGTAAAATGACCTCCAGGTTTCCACTGTGTTCATCCTGGTGGTTCTCGGCCACTGTTTAATATCACAGTGAGTGATTATCAGGGGAGGTTGGGATACACTAACCTACAGCTCAACGATTAATTGATAAGTTGATTGATGGAAAATTGTTTTGATAACTGAGTCATTTTTCCAGCAAAAATGTTTGTCGGTTTGTTTTTTTAAGGGTTGCAGCTATCAATTATTTTAGTAATTAAGTATTGTACCAGTTAATCAGATAAGAAATACTTTTACTTTATTAAAGAGTAATATAGTAAATCTGCAAAAGAGAAAATAAAACAGATTAAAACAGCTTTTAAAGATTGATTTACATCATCGAGTTAGCTCAGTTTACTCAAGAAAATAAACACAGAGAATAAAATGCTGCAGTGAGTGAAAGCCTAACTAACCACTAGATTGATTTACATTTGTAAAAGGGAAACTTCAGAAACGTTTGGCTTCCCTCCGTGCTACCCAGAGGGTCCCTGTACTGCGTGTCAGCGGGATAAGCGAGGAGCTCCAGGGGCTGGCTGCCCAAAAGGAGCTGAGCATCATTCATTTGCATTTAACGTCACTGCCCACGTTGCAGCAACACAGAACCGGTTGAAAATCTTTATGATTAGCCGTAATCAACACACATTCTTTATGAGCCTTCATCTCAACTCATTGATTTACATTTCATGTTAGCGTTGACATTAATGTACGTTGTGTCCAAATATTTGCTGGTTTCATTGGTCCTTTATCTCAGTAAACTCAACATTTTTGTCTGTCAGGCAAAACATAGTCTGAGTGGGTGGAAGTTCACTGCATAGATCAGCCTCTCATTGGGCGGAACGAGCCACCCGCTGAAGTCCCGCCCTACCACCTCCGGTTGGAGTTTTCAACACGTCCTTTACTAACTTTTGCGGTGTTTGATCTTGCGGGGATGTAGCCATTTTTCTGCCATGGTTCGCGTCCTGTAGGCGATATTTTTGTGGGCGTGTTACACCAAAACCTGTTTCCCCCCGGCAATATTTTTGCAAGCGCACCGTTGCTGTGGCACCGCCAAGAACGATTGTGATTGGTTGAAAGAAATACAAGCAGCCAGGGCATTTTTTTCTCCAATCTTAAAGTGAGAGTCGGCCCAGCCAGACCTTTCTTTTCTTGAGAAAGGTCTGGTGACCCTGACTAGGCAAAACAAGACTTTTAAGAGATGTCTTTTGGGCTTTGGAAAACTGTGATAGACATTTTCTGACATTTTATAGACCAAACAACTCATTGAGTTGTCAAGAAAATGAATCACTTATGAATATACAATGGTGGAAAAAAGTTTTCGGAAACCCCATGCATTTGTGAAATATTGCATTAAGAATCACTCTTAGGTCTTCAAGTGCAATTTCTTTTAGTACAGTCACAGCCAAAATACTAAATAAATCCTAAAAAAGCCATTAAAACTTAAAATTGATTGGTTCCATAAAAATACATAAGAAATTTTGAGTATTGGGTCATTTTGGTACCAGTGATGAAGGTCGTTCTTTTTATTAAAAGACACAATTTTTGTTGCCAAGCTTCGTGTCTACATAAAGCCAGCACATTTGAAAGTTCTTCAGACACAAAAATGGCTAAAACAAGGAACCTAACGCAGGAAACACGCCTGAAGATAAGGATTCTCAGCCAGGAAGGGTACAGCTGCCGCCAGATAGCCAGGAAGTGCAGATGCAGTCCTTCAGCAGTTGGATACACTCTGCAGAAATACAGACGAACCAACAGCTTGGAAGACAAACCAAGATCTGGGCGTCCAAGGGTTTCTTCAGCAAGAAATGACCGCATCCTGATCCGCATGTGCAGGAAAAAAACGGCGAATGACATCACAGGAGCTTCAGCAGCAGTGGTCAAACCAAACTGGTGTCCAGTGTTCCACCCGCACTGTACGTGGCCGACTTTTAGATCATGGCTTAAGGTCCTACAAGGCTATCAAGAAGCCCCTGATCAATGAGAGACAGAGGTTAGCCCGGCGTCGTTAGGCCCAGGCACACAAGAACTGAACAGCCAGGAATTGGAAGAAGATTTTGTGGTCAGATGAGTCCAGTTTCCAGCTTTATCTTCCTCCTACTAATGTGAGGGTACGCAGAAGGCCAGGCGAAGCATTATCTCCAGCATGTACAGTACCTGCTGTCAAGCATGGTGGAGGCAGTATCATGGTTTGGGGATGCATGAGTGCTGCTGGTGTTGGTCATCTCACTGTCTGTGATGGCACATTGAACTCTACCAAGTATTGTACCATTCTCGAAACCCACATGCTCCCTTCTACGCGTGCACTGTTCCGTCAAGGTAAAAACTGGATGTTTCAACAAGATAATGCCCCTTGCCACACATCCAAGGCCAGTAGAACTTGGCTGCAGGAGCACAGTATCCAGGTCTTAGAGTGGCCAGCTCAATCCCAGGACATGAGCCCCATTGAAAATCTGTGGTGGATTATCAAAAGGTCTGTTTCAAAACATAAACCAAAGAATTTAGAAGAATTAAAAGCAGTAATTTAAGAAGAATTGGACAAGATTACCCCTCAACAGTGTGAAAGGCTCATGGGGAACATGCCAGCCAGGATTAGAGCTCTACTACGTGCCAGTGGCAGGACTACTAAATATTAATTTGATGATGTGATGGTTTTTTTTTTTTTTTGTTCAGTTTTGAACACATTCTCTGTTATTTGTTGACTTTGATACCAGCAATGTTGAGAACTGACATATTGAAACTGTCAAGAATTTAGTTTTGTTAGTTTTTCTTGTAAACAATAAACAAAAAAATATAATTTGTATTTGTTTGTATCTGTCTAATGCAACCACACCTTTTGAAACACAAAAAAGATTTTTCCACAAATATTTCATGATAATATTTGAGATTGTGTAAAATTTTAAGGGTGTCCGAAAACTTTTTTCCACCACTGTATATGTTAGCTGCAGCCTTACAGTCAGCTTTGCCTTCACCTCTAAATAATGAGTGGGAATCACCAGAGAATCCATAATACGATATCATCACGATACTTAAGTCACAATTCAATATTATTAAGGTATTAAATATGTTGCGATATCCTGAGTATTGCCGTAAAATATATCGTGATTTAATACCTTTTTTCCAACAGTAAATTATGTTCCCAAAGGAAAAATCATCATTCAAGTCATCCGTTTTATCTAATAAGTCTCTTTCAGTCTGTTCATGTCACTTAAGCAGCTGCAAAAATTATCTAGTGGACTGTAAAAGCAATTGATTATATTATTCTAGTAGGCTACCTAAGGTTTAAATTTGTACTTGTAATATTAATAATTTATAACTTTGAATTTAATGGACTTTTAACATCCTTACGACTGATCGCTTGTTTTTGCAGTGCATCGTGGACTATTATTTCATAGGTATTGTGTTGATGTTGTGGTATTTTTACTTCTCTGCACTGACACTGGTGTGTATAATGTAGCAGTGACCAACATGGCTGTAACTAGCAATTTTCCATAATAATTCATCTCATTATTATTTCTCTTTAACTTGTAGTCAATCGTACTTAATCTATGGTCTTTCTCATGGTGTAGGTTTGTATTTAAGTTTTTTGTTTTGTCCAAAATCCCCAAATATTCAGTTTCCAATGAGAAGAAACAAAGAAAAGGACACTAATGCTAACTTTCTGAGAAGCTTCCTGGAAAATTATTTCTAAGATCCACTGACGATCACCGTTGTTGCAGATTAATTTTTATCGACCAGCTAACAGATTAGATAAATAGTTTCAGCTTCATATGAACCACTTTACATATAAAGAAATGGATTCTGTTTCTAATTAAGCTAGTTTAAACCCTCTGTTGCCTGTCCAGTGATATTTGACTATTTCAGGACACCCTGTAACCTCATCTTCTTTAACTCAACCACATATTACAACATCACTCTGTCAGATCAGCTCGATTTCCTTTAACTTTGTTTTCGTCTCTGTTTGTGTTTGTGTTGGGTTTATTAAGCAACATGCCCTGTGCTCATGACACCGTGGCCAACTTCCTCTCATATGTATTCACACTGAACAGCTCTCTCTGCTCTCTCTCAGCCTAGACTCTGCATGGCGACGGACTGGCAGCAGTGGGAGTGAGCAGCCAATCAGCCAAGGCCACCGGTAGCAACATGGCGTCCCGTCAGAGGAACTCGGTCCGGATCCTGTCCAGCCGGGAGCGCGGCTCCCAGACCTTTGGCTCGCAGAGGCTCCTGCAGCTGCTGGTGGAGGAGAAAGTCCGCTGGATGAAATGGCAGAGTCAGGTATGAAAATAACATCAGTCAGAGTTTTTTCCTTACATGAGATAATAAGAAATAATCTCAAGATGTTTTAAGGCTTCCAGACTCAAAACCTTTTACATCAACATTATAGTTATTGAAAACGTCAGTCTCATGTCTGAATAAACACCAAGGTGACTTACTAAACGTTACTAAATCTGACCTGAAACCTTTTCAACACGACACAAGTCTGAATTGAATGACGTTAGATTAATGTAAATGCTTTTATGTGACTTAATAAAGGTGGTTGCTAACAAGTGGCTAAATGAGACCGCAGAACATCATCAAACCGAACAAGGATTTACAGCCTCGCTGTGGTGGCGGTGTGAAAGTCCTGTGACTGTGGTGTACATTGTTTAAAGCCCAGTGTTAGCTGTTTATTTCTGGTGATTGCATTCAGGCTTCAAAAATCATAGAATTGGTGGTGTGGCTGCACCTTTGAGGAACTTTGAGGGTGCAAATCATGCAACATGTGTATAGCCCAAAATACTTAGCCGAGCCAAGTATTTTGGCCCCCAATCCAGGTCATCTACCAATACAGATCCCAATCTGATACGTCCATTTTCCTAGATTCTACAGTTGCACAGTGCACACATCAAATACATTAAAGTTACTAAAATCAATCCAGTGTATGTGTATGACAGTTGAATAGCTCTGCAGCTTATAAAGAAAAACAATTCCAGTGTCCAAACTGTTACTTATTTATTTATATTATATGTTAAGTATGAAATAACAAACCCTCTCTTAAATCTTTTTTGGCCTTTTCACTGCCTCAGGGAGATTCCTTTCTGTCCTTTAGAGACTATTCCTCAGTGTTTGTTGCTTCGGTGCAGCCTTGCCTGAAATAGCCTTCCTGAATGAACTGTTCTCCATGAATCTTTACTTTTGTTGTCTGTACATCATTTGTTCAGATAAGGCCACATTAACATATTACCCCTATTGGCTTTTTGCTCGCGGGGTTTGATCTATTATTTTTATTATCTGTGTGCACTTAACACAACAAGCACCACAATTTTAAAACTACATTCAAGTTTACATTTTTACAACCTCTACTAAGAACTGGTCTTGCCCTTTCCTCTGTGTCAAAGTTTGACTGAATTTCTGTCACGTGACTGTTTGTCTCAGCCAAGTTCCTCAGTTGTGCTGAGGAGTGCAGAATTAAATGTTTTTTATTACAGGATCTGGTCGATGCAGACGGTTCATTTTTGGTGAAATTTAAATGAAACATGTAGAATAAAGTGATTTTGGAAGCATTTCTCAAACATAATGCATTCAATGCCCGTAGGAAATTTGAAAATCCAGCGATCATTTAGGTCTGGCTCGATCAGTGGGCTTGAGTTAGCCCGTGGGCCACCAGTTGAATAGGCCTGGCATAGATAATTAAGATAACAAAATTACAGATGAAATGTATTTGAAGAAGCTGGATCCAGAAGGACGTCAAGCAGGTTCAGAGGTCTCCAAGCAGCTAGAGCCTGAGCCACACAACCTCCTCTCCACCATGTAATCTGGAAAGAGGACAGACTACACAAACACACAAGATGCAGACCTGAAGCACATCATTCACTCAGCAGGAGAAAGAAACAAACAGAGAGAGAAGAGGAGAGGCTAAATCTCCCCGGAGGATAAAGATTAAAATCCAACATGTGGAATAAACCAACAGCCAGGAGGGACAAAAAGGTGTCAGGACAGCTGATGATCGAACACTATTAAAAACAGAGTTAAAAGAGAGGACGAGGAGGAGAAACTAAGGAGGTAGCAGGAAGAGCTAACTATGATAATGTAACAACGATGATTATAATATAAGAATAAACTAGTGACATTACAGAATCAGATAAAGACTAGATTTTAAAACAGAACACATACAAGGTGAACTGTGTCCAACTTCTGCCTCTGGTTCTTTCTCTTTCTTACAAGCTGCGTCACACAGTATTTATGTTGTTTTTAACTGAAGCACATTTTGTCTCACTTTAGTGTGGTTAACCCGACCTGATGTTTGTTAGTGTGTTTTAAACCAAAATGAGGCAGACTCAGTCCGTCCTCTCTCTCTCTCTCTCTCTCTCTGTCTGCAGCCCCTCGAGTGCGTCCTCTCTGCACCAACACTGCTCTTATTGTGTGTGTCCCTCTAAAGCCCGTCTCAGACCACGACACTATTCACATGTTGCCCAGTGAGGCCTGTTCAGAATAAACGACGTCCAGTCTCCGAGTCCATGCTGCAGGGCACAGATGAAGACCAGGGAGCAGTTCATTATATGACAACAAACTGGGATGTTTTCATTAAATTACTGATGACATGGGATGTGACTAGTTGTTAGTTTTACTGCCACTCTGGGAAACACAGGAGTTGGAACAAAACCCCTGACAGTCATCTTAGCATCATGTATGATTAAATAAATAAAACTAATCACACATTAGAGCCACATCGGTCGACCCATAGCAGCTTAGAGAAGTTGGGCATGGAGATCTCCACATTTATACATTTTAAAATGTTTGCACCTCCACATGTTCTTCAGTTAGAAGCTTAGTGATATCTCATTAGGGGTGGGAATCTCTTGGTACATTGACTTTCGATTCGATTACGATTCAGGGGCTACGAGTCGATGATTATCGATGCATTTTGATGCATAAAAACCCTGGGTTTCTAAACACGATTTTTTTTTTAATCACTGACTCCCTGTGACTTAAATGAATTAATGAATTTCCTTTCATAATCTTTTCCTGAAAGCAGTAAAAAGAAGGAGAACTGAAAGTTGACACAGGGGCATAAGACTCAGTGGCAGTAGACATCCTCGCATCGCACGTTAAAGCAATCCTACCTGTTTTCTTCAGGGACTCCATGACGTTAGCTTTAGCCTTGTTGTACAGTGTGAATATTGCTATGTCAGTAAAAAAAAAACGTTGACAGGATGTCGTACCTCGGCTCCTGTTTCCCTCTAACTTAGTAAAAGCCAAAATGTTTCCATACACTAGCTTTTAAGCCAGGGGGTGCTGGTCGTATTGTGTCCTTCGTTTACTCATGCTCAGCCATGCTCTCATGTTGGTAGTTTAGTTTAGAGCATAAACATGGCGCACACGGATGGTACGTACCAGTAAGGAACATGCAGACGTCAGAGGCACACACCTTATGTACGTTACGTGCCTCTTGCACATGTGGAGGTCTGCCGTATTGCCTTTGGCTCTGGACTGATGGTCAGAATGTCGAGAGACAGCGAGACATCATCGTTTGAGAGAGAATCAAGTTTTTCTCCATCCCTATATCTCGTCCATGTGAGAAATAATTCCCTAGCAAAAATCGTGTGATGACAAGACAATAAATAAAACACCTGACTCGTGTTATCTTAACTTCAGACTTTGTTACATCTACTTGTCAGCCCTTCTTTCTGGAACAAAACCATAACAGAATCATCTAGAATATCTTAATCAGTGTGTCTTTCAAACTTGGTGCAAGCAGCACTCAATGTTTGAGTGCTGCTTAGACTGAGACGGACAGTATTTTGTGGTGTGTTATTACATCCAGGGGCTAATATTAGTGTGTTCACCTGGGTGTTGTGTTTGCATCACTGCCGATTGGGGCCGGAGCCGATAAATACCCATGACCACTGCAGAGTCATTTGACCTGGGTGTAAGAGCCGATTGTTACCTTTCCCATTACATTAAAAAGCCAGATGTTAACGAGTGTTTGGAGGTTTTTTGTGCAGTGGAAAAGGGGCTTAAGACTGTTTTCTTGTTTCTCTAGAAGGAGCTACCACATAGTTTGAATCCACTTAACTGACTCTAAACACGTTTGTGTCCCTTACAGAAAGTGGAGCTGCCGGACAGCCCTCGATCAACCTTCCTGCTGGCATTCAGCCCCGACAGGTGAGAACATCCATCCACACTTTGAAAAGTCGAGAATATTTCAGAATTCACTTTGTAAAATTATTTAATTGAACTGTAACACTGTCAGACTGAATGTGTAGTAAACATAGCACATCCAGTGTTTCATATTCCAGCACCTTGTAGCTGGAATATGAAAATCTTGTTTTAACATGTGAGCGAGTTTCCTCAGTGAGATTTGCTGCCCGTGTGTTTACACAGAGCTGACAGTGAGTTATGTTCGTTATTAGTGAGGTGACAAACACCTAAAACTAATATTTGTTCATTGAACTCTTTTTGCTTCCTGTAGGACTCTCATGGCTTCCACACACGTCAACCACAACATTTACATAACGGAGGTGAAGACTGGAAAGTGCCTACATTCCTTAGTGGGCCACCGTAGAACCCCCTGGTGTGTGACCTTTCACCCCACCATCCCCGGCCTTGTGGCCTCCGGGTGCCTTGATGGTGAAGTCCGCATCTGGGACCTGCATGTGAGTATCACTGTCTAAAGTACCGTAACCTTTGAGGTACTGTATCAGGTGACCCTGATAAAATCACCCCTTTAGGTTTACCTACTAGACACCCACAAATCAAATTACAGAGACAAAGACATGCAGTGTAGCATCTAACCAGAAGTGCAAAAACCAGTGAAGTACAGAATTAAACAAATTAATAGAATGTGGAACAGTAAGGAGTATGACATAAATTATATTCACACTGTGACCTCCAGCATGCACTGTGGCGGTTTGCAGCTGGGTGTGAAGCGGTCAGGATGAGAGTCAGCACCTCCAAATCTGAGTCCACGGTTCTCTGCCAGAAAACAGTGGATTGCCCCCTCTGGGTTTGGAGAGTTACTGCCTCAAGCGAGGGAGTTCAAGTATCTCAGGGTCTTGTTCACGAGTGAGGGTAGAATGGAGCGTGAGATGGATAGGTAGTTTGGTGCGGCTTCTGCAGTGATGCGGGCGCTGCACCGGACCGTCGTGGGGAAGAGGAAGCTGAGCAAGAAGGCAAAGCTTTTGATTTACTGCTCCAACTACGTCCCAACCCTCACCTATGGTCATGAGCTCTGGGTAGTGACCAAAAGAATGAGGTCACAGATACAAGCAGCTGAAATGAGTCTCCTCTGTGGGGTGGCTGGGCTCAGCCTTAGAGATAGGGTGAGGAGCTCAGACGTCTGGAGGGAGCTCGGAGTAGAGCCGCTGCTCCTTCAGATTGAAAGGAGTCAGTTGAGTTAGGGCATCTGATCAGGATCCCCCCGCGCACCTCCTGTTAGAGGTGTTCTGGGCAAGTCCCACTGGTAGGAGGCCCCAGGGCAGACCCAGAACATGCTGGAGGGATTATGTATCTCATCTGGCCTGGGAACGCCTCGCGGTCCCCAATGTCTGGGGTGCTTTGCTTGGCCTGCTGCCCCCATGACTGGGCCCCAGATAAGTGGATGAAAATGAATGAATGGATGGATGGATAAATTCTATTTCCTTTTATTATGATGAATTATGCCCAACTTTCTTCCCTTGTCAATTGAAAATAAATGAATCAGTAAGTATTGAAACATTTTATGGTTGCAATTTATCATATGTGAGAATGAGCTTCAATGACAGTGAACTGAATCTCTTTGGATGTTGGACTGCTGGTTGGACAAAACAAGACACGAGATGACGTCAACTGTGATAGCTTTTTGACATTTTATTTACCACATGATCAATTTAGAAATTAATTTATAATTAAAATGATATGCAGCTCTAGAGATTTGTTGCCTCTGGCCTAATATTGCCCATTACTACGGTTTAAAAAAGAAATAGTTTTATCATTTAAATCCACTCCTCTTTCCCTCTCGCTGGTGAAATGATCTCTAATGAAACTGCTCTTACTTGCTAAAGTGGACTATGCCTGTTTTCAGAAAATCATACATTTTATTCCTGTGGTCTAAGACAGATAAAAACTAATCCTCAACATGAATAACTCTCCCAAATTCAAACTTGTGATGTCATAGGGTGTAAAGTCTGGAGCTGCTCCATGGACACTTAATGATGAAAGATGTTCTAGATGACACTGAGAGCACCCGGGGCAATGCTCTATTATATGGGAGTATATGGGAACACTTTCTGTTTCACAACTAAGTACACAATAGAATAAAGCTCATTTGGGTATTAAAAAGGAAAACAAACGTATCGGTTTCCCATTCATTGTCTGTGGAGCGGCTCCAGACTTGACACCCTATGACATCACAAGTACAAGACTTCCTTCTCTGGTTTTGAGAGAGAGTAGCTCATGTTCACAAATATCGATTGGACTTTCCTCAGACATGGAAATAACACATTGGAATTCTCAAGTTAGGTGGTGCTCCCCTTTAAATGATACACACGTGTTTGATTATCTGCAGTGGTAACACAGTGTTCTCTCTGCAGGGCGGCAGTGAGAGTTGGTTTACAGAGAGCAATGTTGCCATTGCCTCCCTGGCCTTCCACCCGACTGCTCAGCTCCTCCTGATCGCCACCAACAACGAGCTCCACTTCTGGGACTGGAGCCGACCGGAGCCCTTCGCTGTGGTGAAGACGGGCAGTGACACGGAGAGAGTCCGGTGGGTTGAACATGAGTCGTGATGGTAACTCTAGTTAGATAGTGAGGTTGTAAGAGTCGATATAGACCGCATTGTACCAACAGCGTTCCTTCGTGTCACTGTGGTGGACAGTGTTGGCCAAATTTCAAAATAAGGATACTGTATAGATTAGGCGCCCCCTAATATAATGGTAGGGCAAACACTGACTCTGTTGTTTCACTGATGAGTTAGTGCTGTGGAAATAAATGGACATTAGACTGACCACATGAACTATTGTATGTTTCAGATATTTTTCCCAGACTTAATTTGCGAGTGGTCTTTGTTTTTGTGCTGAGTGAACATGTCTGCAGAACTTTGTGTTTTCCTTTGTCATTTAATTGTCCATGTGTTCCTTTCAGGTTGGTGAGGTTTGATCCTCTTGGTCACAACCTACTGACGGCGATAGTCAATCCGTCCAATCAGCAGGTGAGCACAGCTGACTGTGTTTCTGTTGTTAATTGCTGGTTGAGTGGTGTTCTAAGAGCTGTTGAATCTCTTTCAGAACGAGGAGGACTCTGAGGTTCCCATGGACAGCGTTGAGATGCCTCACTTCCGCCAGCGCTCCTTCTTGCCTTCTCAACCAGTTCGCCGCACACCCATCCTCCACAATTTCCTCCACATCTTGTCGTCTCGCTCCCCGGGGGCTCAGGCGGGAGGCGAGCAGCCACGCCCTCTAGGTGACAATGGAAGCAGTGTTGGAGAATCTCCCAGCATGCCTCTGGCCCAGTACCCCAGCTCTGAACGCGGGCCTCCCTTCCCAGGCTGCACCCAGCATCTGGGCATGGCTTGCCTGTGCTACCGCTGCTCCGTCAATCGCAACCCCTCCCTTGCAGCCGATGTGACAGTCTCTGATCCCAGGGTGTCATCTGACGCTCCCCAGCCTCCCCCAGCTTCAACTTTCTCTTCAGCCCGTACGGAGCCCCGACAGCCCTCGGAGCGACCCTCAGCCTTTACCTCAGTCTACTACAGCGCCGGCACTTCTCTTAATCCCCCTGCACCAAGTGGCATAGAACCGCTCTCCACCTCCAGGCCAGGACCTGACTGGACACGTAACCTGCTAAGTATGAGGGAAGTTGGGGTGGGTTCAGGTGTGCTGCCTCCCAGAACCTCCTCCTCTTCTATAAGCCTTCTTTCAGTGCTCCGTCAGCAGGACGGCTCCTCTCACTCCCCTGTCTACACCTCTGCCTCGGAAGGACGGGGTTTCCCCCAACAAGGAGATCCCGGGGCCCGAGATGCTGCGGGCACAAGCAGCGGGCACCATCCGTTCTGGGATGGCTCTCGCAGCAACACGGCCTCTTTCCGCAATGTGCTGCAGTGCAACCTTAGCCGCTACTTCATGGAGTTTGATCGCATGCAGGACTTGGAGCCACCGTTAGGAGGTGGCATGGCAGATGGAAGCCAGGAGCAGAGCCAAGAGCTGCTTAATAAAAACATGGACCCAGAGAGGCCTGGGCCTTCCACAACTTCCTCCACCTCCTCCCCTACCATCATTCATTACCAGCCTCCTCTCCCCCCTCCTCCTACCTCCCACAACCTGGAGAACAATGTTCCTCCCCCAGCGTCCCGAGGCCATCTAAACCGCTGCCGGGCCTGCCACAACCTGCTGACCTTTAACCATGACTCTCAGCGCTGGGAGCGAACCAACCAGGCCTCCTCCACCTCTGCCTCCACTCTGGAGCCCTCCTCTTCCTCCACCTCCTTTCCTCCTTCTTCTTCTTCTTCTTCCCCTTGGCAGCCCGAGGAGGGCAGGAGGACACTAGAAACCCAACCTCAAGAGAGAAGGGTACCTCCGGAGCCTAGCGAGCAGCCGCCTCCCCCTGGAGGTGGAGGAGCCGGAACAGTGGCCTTCCCAATAGCCCCGTCCCCCAGCCAGTCTGGAGAGCAGACAGTGGGCTTGGTGTACAACCAGGACACAGCGCAGTGGGAGAGGGTGTACCGCCAAGCTGCTGCCGGCAGATCGGCAGAGCCGGCGGAGGCCTTAAGCCAAGAAATGCCTGTTGACCCTCCAGATGAGGACTCCCTGAGGAGGTACGCTCGTTGTGTCTGTCAGTGGCTAGTACCTGTATATACACTTACGTGAACACAATGAGAGTGTGAAGTCCGAGATTAAAGTGGCCACATCGGTGTGATAAGTACATAATAATATCTGGCTTTGGGTTAATCTGAGTTTTGCAGGCAAGTTTGACATCTTTGTTTGACAGCCTGTCAACTGTTTATTAGGGTTCCTGTGAATCCTTCAAATGTCTTTAAAGGCATTGAATTCAATTATTCAAAAAATAAGGCCTTAATTGGTATCAAAATATCTAATATCTGCGGCTTCGTTAATCCATATAACTGTACACATAGTACTGTGTTTCACTCATATGATTATCACTGTGGCACAATGCATTTACACTGCGGAGACATGACATGAAGAAGAAAATACTTAAAAATCATACAACCATGCTCAAAATAGACATAGTTCGGTGGCGCAGATTGAAAAATGAAGGAAGAAAGAGAAAATAGCAAGGGGTGAGAAAATGACAGAAAGTTTCCATAGTTTGAGATTAGAGCTGAAACAAAATGTAAAACTGAACTACGTTACCACATTAAGCACAATGTCAGTGCATCTCAGCAGAAAGCATCCAGTCCATGGAGCCGACCTGACACAAGGTAACATTAACTTTAGCTTCCCTCTGTGCTGCCAGAGCCTGGAGCTCCACGCTCATCCTGTGGCAAAAAAACGGATGACAGGTAACCTGGAGACCCCTGCCAGCAGATGAGTAGGGAGCCCTAAGCGGCACGGAGGGAAGCCAAACTCCGTTCATCTGCACAAACTGCCCACACAGCGGTGACACAAAGCTGTTTGAAAATCAGTTTCTTTTTCAAGGAAGTGGGTGCTAGTTATGTTTTCACAAGTTGACTGCAGCATTTTATTTTCTGTTTATTTTCTTGAGCAAAACTGAGCTAACTTAGTGCTATAATCACAGAAAATAAAATGCTGTAGTCAATTTATGAAAGCCTGAGCTTCATTCATGTTACTATCATGATAGTGACACGCACACGCCTACAGTACTCCCCTGACAGTGATGCAAAAAAAAGAAAGAAAAGAAAAAGAAAAATCTAAATAGCAGTTGGAGCCAAATTATTGTCTGTGATTAAAGCAACCAAAATGTTGATTTTTCTAAAAAGAACCCAGTTAGTTTTTAATTCAAGAGACCTGTCATAGTTTCTCTTGTATGTATTTACTATGGCTCTTCAATAAAGCAGAAGCATTTCTTAACTTATGACTAGATTAATCCATGTATTAATTGGTAGAATACTTGATTACTGAATAATTGATAGCTACAGCTCTAGTTGCATTGTAAAATCTCAAAATAATTGGTAACATTTTTTTTCCCCCCCTTAAATGTATTTGCCGAATGCCTCTCACAGTGACCTCACACATATCAGGATAGTGGAACCAACACAACTATCTTTACTGTGGCCAGGATGCAAGCTAGTTGTCACTGTACCTTTGACAACATAGGAAATGCAGATTTATTGAACATTGACTGTTCAACAAAGATTTTGTAGCGTGGCTTAAACCGGTACAATTGTGATTACTGTAAAATTGGTCTAAATTGAGCTGTAGGAGCCCTGATTTATGGCTGACATGCTATTGGACATGCATTTTAAGCCACAGGGTGACTTAAATAACATTTACCCAAATAATTTAATCCAGCTACTACCTCTCTAAATACACCTGTCGTGTTTCTTTCACACAGGCGACTGTTGGAATCATCTTTGTTATCATTGTCTCGCTATGACATGTCAGGATCGAGAGACCACCCCATTTACCCCGATCCAGCCAGGTACATTAATACACTTCATTTACCCCGATCCAGCCAGGTAAACTAATACACCTCATTTACCCAGTCCAGCTAGCTACACTAACACTCTTCATTTACCCCGATTCAGTCAGGTGCATTAATGCACTTCATTTACCCCGATCCAGCCAGAGGCATTCATACACTTCATTTACCTTAATCCAGCCAGGTACATTAATACACTTCATTTACCTTCATCTAGCCAGGTACATTAATACACTTCATTTACCCTCATCCAGCCAGGTGCATTAATACACTTTTTTTAACCTGATCCAGCCAGGTGCATTAATACACTTTTTTTAACCTGATCCAGCCAGGTACATTAATACACTTTTTTTAACCTGATCCAGCCAGGTGCATTAATACACTTCTTTTACCTTCACCCAGCCAGGTACATTAATACACTTCATTTACCTTCATCCAGCCAGGTACATTAATACACTTCATTTACCCTCATTAGCCAGGTACATTAATACACTTTTTTTACCTGATCCAGCCAGGTACACTACTACACTTCATTTACCCTGATTCAGCCAGGTACAATAATACACTTCATTTACCTTCATCCAGCCAGGTACATTAATACACTTCATTTACCCTCATCAGCCAGGTACATTAATACACTTTTTTTACCTGATCCAGCCAGGTACACTACTACACTTCATTTACCCTGATTCAGCCAGGTACAATAATACACTTCATTTACCTTCATCCAGCCAGGTACATTAATACACTTCATTTACCCTCATCCAGCCAGGTACATTAATACACTTTTTTACCTGATCCAGCCAGGTACACTACTACTACACTTCATTTACCCCGATCTAGCCAGGTAAACTAATACACTTCATTTACCCCGATCCAGCCAGGTAAACTAATACACTTCATTTACCTTCATCCAGCCAGGTACATTAATACACTTCAGTTACCTGATCCTGCCAGATACATTAATACACTTCATTTACCCCGATCTAGCCAGGTACACTTATACACTTCATTTACCCTGATCCAGCCAGGTACACTACTAAACTTCATTTACCCCGATCTAGCCAGGTAAACTAATACACTTCATTTACCTTGATCCAGCCAGGTACATTAATACACTTCATTTACCTGATCCAGCCAGATACATTAATACACTTCATTTACCCTCATCCAGCCAGGTACATTAATACACTTCATTTACCCCGATTAAGTCAGGTACAATAATACACTTCATTTACCCTGAACCAGCCAGGTACACTGTTTCTCTTCATTTACCCCGATTTAGCCATGTGCATTAATACGCTTCATTTACCCTGATCCAGCCAGGTACATTAATACACTTCATTCACCTGATCCAGCCAGGTACACTACTACACTTCATTTACCCTGATCCGGCCAGGTACAATAATACACTTCATTTACCCTGATCCAGCCAGGTACATTCTTACACCTCATGATACCCCAATCTAGTCAGGTACATGACTGTACTTTATCTCAGTATTACCTCTAATACCGTGGTCATACTTCCTTTGTTGTTATAAGGATGAACCTGAACTTGTCCTCTGTGCTGTCCAGGCTTTCTCCAGCTGCTTACTACGCCCAGAGGATGATCCAGTATCTGTCAAGGCGGGACAGCATTCGCCAGCGATCACTTCGCTACCAGCAGAACCGCCTACGGGCCATGTCATCTTCATCCGACAGTCCTGCCACCAACCCGTCCAGCTCCATGGACAACAGCGATGTGGACTTTGAGGAGTTGGAGTAAATTTCATTTTGTCTCTTACGTAGTTTAACCTTGTTTTAAGTATATGAAACGTGATGATATTCTGTATCTAATCAGATTTAGCTGAATGATGGGTGAATTCAGAAAGCTGCACAACTTGCCCACAGTCTGGCACAAAGGCAACATTAATACATAGATAATAGATAGATACACATAGATAATCAGGCGCAAAAAGAGGGCAGATTGCTCTCAGCTGCAAAACTTAATGAGTGTTTATGCACTGTAATATCATTAACTCAATATCCTTTGTGAATTGGACGATGAAACGGGGTAGATGAAGTGAAGCGCAACTCATTGTGCTGTCAGCGGCCACAGTGCATTTTTTGTGAATCCGCCCATGAGTGTGGACGTTGTCTGAGACAGGATAAGAAAAACACTGTTTGCTTTGCACAAAGACAAGCAAGGTTGGTAGACTATCGAAAACAGTGGCTGAAGGGAGTTGAAGCGTTATGGCATCCAAGTGTTTGAGTTGTGCCAAGACAACTGTAAACTAATGTCACACTGTTGTGATCTGAGTCCTTTAAAATCGATCAGCCCAATACTTCATATTTACTTAAATGATGATAAAATATGTATCTGACACATTTAAATAACAGCTGTAGATACTTTATCTGACACATCTTATTTTCCCTGAGCATCATGATCCAAATGCTGAAGTCCCTGATTCAAAAATATTAAAAATATAAACTTTAATTTTTGATGTGATTTGAAAGATTAACGGACAGAATGCCCATATGGACCCTGATACAACTCGAGACGTCTCTAGTTATTAGTTCTGCCTGAGGACCTGAGTGATGTCATCAGTTTATAACACTTGATTTAACTGATGAAGCATCATATTAGCTTTGCTCAGTTTAATAGTGTAGTCCTGCCATGGTTGATTACAGCGACCTTTAACTCTTTGAACATACATATGACATGAATATTGTGTTCAGACTAGGGCTGCCCCCTAATGGTTGACCAAACGTTAGTCCAGAAAGGACATTAGTCGTCAAGATTTCATTGGTCGCTTAGTCGCAGAAAAAAAAAAAAAGTCGACTAATGGCCCTAAATGGTGACTATTGGTTGACTAGGAAAATTATTAGTCGGGGACAGCCCTATCTAATGCTTGAATTAACAGTTCAATAGAGTCTTTCTGCCAAGATTGATTATAGAGACCTCTAACTCTCTGAACTTATATATAACAAAAAAACTATCCATAAACACATATAACTGATTAGTCTGCTCTACATCTATCAGAGGCAGTGCCAACACAAGCTTTAAATAGGTTTTCTTACATTTTCAGCCCAGTCATTATTTTGTGAGGAGGAGAAAATGGTGTTTTTGTTCCAATAATGGTTTTGTTCTCTTGTTGTATTGGCACTTAAGACTTTTCCTAGCATGTAATCCTGTACTATATTAAACAGTGCTTGTCATTTTGTTTTTCTATGTAGCCTCACCATTTTCTTTATTCCAGTGATAATGGAGACAGAGCGAGGCACAGGACTCCACGTAACGCCAGGATGTCTGCACCTTCGCTGGGTCGCTTTGTCCCGCGGTGAGTCAGCACTAAGCTCTAATCCTAACTAACTTTTCTGCTTCGTCTGTGCAGAGCAGTCTGCAGACTGTTCTCTTTTCTAAACACACTATCAGTAATATTCCTTGAAGTTCAGAAAGTGAAGGAAAACCTGAACTTGTAATATGCAGTCCTGGATGAAGAAGTTTGATTTTTCTGTGTTTCAGTTGTCATTGTGACATGTGCAGAAATCTTTTATTGTTCTAGTCCAGGCTTGGTTTTAAATGTTTTGTCCTGTTGTCCTTCAGGCGTTTCCTCCTCCCTGAATATCTGCCCTATGCTGGGATCTTCCATGAAAGAGGGCAGCCTGGCCTGGCCACACACTCCTCTGTCAACAGAGTACTCGCTGGTAAATACACACACTTTGCAGTGCTACCGAAATTACCATTTTAGGTTTGGAAATCACCAGCTGCAAGCCAAATGCTGATAAGGTTTGGTGCATGTTGTTCAGTTTCACAACTTCACCAGACAAATTCAGTTATGAAATCTAACTAACTGGTAGGACACTGAAAATAATCAGTAACTGACCTGACCAGCTTTTATTTTGTTGTTTCTCTTCTGTATGAATGTCCTCAGTAACAGGGCTTACTGTTGTTTTCCAGGTGCATCGATCGGGGACGGTCAGTCCGCAGTCGCCAGCAACATCGCTAACACTACCTACCGTCTGCAGTGGTGGGACTTCACCAAATTCGACCTGCCTGAGATCAGCAACGGTACAACAACCGTTTACCTGCATTTTTCTACTTTGAGTCGTGGCTGTTTATGATGCAGCATTAAGTGCGATACTTGTGCGGCAGACCCTACGTGGTAGTCTGTGCATGTCGCCTACGCCGTTGAGATCATTTATACATGTGTGGTGGTGTTTCTGTGAAGTGCTGTAAAGTTTAGTTGATTCCAAAGTAGACAGCGCTTAATTTGAAAAATGTGTCGAAATGCTGAAGAGAAATGTATCTGTGTTTGTTTGTCTCCTCTCCAGCTTCAGTCAACGTTTTGGTGCCAAACTGTAAAATCTATAACGACGCTAGTTGCGACATCTCTGCAGACGGTCAGCTGCTGGCGGTCTTCATTCCCAGCAGTCAGCGGGGTTTTCCAGATGAGGGCATCCTGGCCATCTACTCTCTGGCTCCCCACAACCTGGGAGAGATGCTCTACACCAAGAGATTCGGTAGTGTTCCTCAACAAGTTAATTATATGTTTGACACAAGGATTCAGTAAACTGATCTTAAAATTAGAAGGTGTCAGATGAAAGTGACAGTTTGGATTCTGCAGTTTTATGACTGTATTGAGATCCATCTTTGTTGTGTAATGTACCCAATCAGTGTTTTAATGTTGACTTTCCTTGGACAGGTCCGAATGCTATCTCTGTTAGCTTGTCTCCGATGGGCTGCTATGTGATGGTCGGCCTGGCCTCTCGCAGAATCCTGCTGCATCCCACCACCGACCACATGGTGGCGCAAGTCTTCCGCCTGCAGCAGCCACACGGAGGAGAGACCTCCATCAGGGTGAGACAGATCCACCAATGCTGACACTGTTTCTAATACAGCAGCAGTTCTGATATTACTACTAAATCTACAACTAATACTTCTATTACTGAAGCTGTAATACAGCAGTCTGATGAAGACCTTTCTGAGTGAGGGAAAAAAAGTCAATGCACTTTGCTGTAGTTTGTTCGGTATTGTATTAATTTCATAAAATGTTTTAATTAATTCTCAATAACTAATGTTTAACTGGGATATTGCGTCCAGCTGTGTATCAATCAGTCACTTTATTTGTCCTCTAAGGGAAGTTGGTTGTGCAACAGTGAAACCAGAAACACTTTATATAAAAACACAATGGAGAAAAGCAGAGTTAGGTCGATTTGCGGTTTCTCCAGTTCGGTGAACAAGCCTAACCCAGTTTGATTTTATGCAAAACAGCTGAACAGATCTTGACAAGTTCTGACAAATTGTAAAGTAGCCATGCTGTGAGCCGAACTACTGTCGAACGTCCTGTTTTTGTTTATTCCTATCGCTCGCTTTGAAAGCACCGCAATGGACGAGGAGCAGCTACTTCATAAAGTTGAAATGAGGAATTATCTATGATACCTTCTTATCTCATTACAAAACCCAAAATGACGTGTCAGCTTGTTGGAGGGAGATCACCAGGGGGCTGGAAGTTTCTGGTAAATGACTGTCGGTAATAACGAGCTAAGCTACTTGCTGTTGGCTATAATGTCTGTTATGTAAGTAAATATCACAATATAAAATGTGATCAGCTGATAGCTGCGTGGTCTGTTTATATGAGATAGGCTAACAGAACAGCTTATTCAAACTTCAAAATTGGCAAAATTCAGTGTACCAGTCCGGTGTTTGGCTTAGTATCAAACCACTTTGAAAATTTTCATACTGGCTCAATTTTAAAAAAGAGTACACAAGTGCAGGGATAGATCCACTAGTGGAAAATATTCTTAAAATCAAGAGGAGAAAACATTTGCTGGATGTGGTTTATGACAAAGTTTGATGGGTGTTCTTAATGAAAATGATACTTGTATTAAAATAAGTTATTTAGAGCTAAATGTAAATATATTAGAGCTGAAACAATTAGTCGATTAATAGGTTAGTTAAATCAGGTTTGGTGTTTCCGACCTAGTAAAGACCTCACTGTGAGCTCTGTGAACAGCAATTTTACTATTTTCTAACAGTTAGTGTTGATGCTGTTAAATGATAATGAAAATATCATAAATACAATATGTTAATTCAGTGCTAATTGCAAGCCCTCGTCTTTTCATTTTCCCTGGTCTTGAAAATGTCTCAGAAAACTGTCTCAGTTAATGGAGAGCAAATAACATCTAAAGAATGGGTAACATTCATAAAAATGCTGAATAACTTAATATTCTCTTTAAACAGCAGGACTGTTAAACCTGAACTGCTCATTCAGTCAGTGACGTCTGCAGTGTGTAAACACAGCCGCTGCCACAGTAGTTGAATCTGTGTGTCATCAGTGTGTGTTGAATCTGCTGTCGTGTTTCAGATGGTGTTCAACGTGGTTTACCCGATGGCTCCAGACCAGAGGCGCCACGTCAGCATCAACTCTGCTCGCTGGCTGCCGGATCCAGGGATGGGTTTGGCTTATGGAACCAACAAGGGAGACCTGGTGATCTGCCGGCCTGTGTGAGTCTCTGAACTCCTGACGCGGACGTGTCTCAGCTGTGCCGTCACACATTTAAATATATACTTTCTATTCTGGGTCTGTATTTATCAAACATGTCAGAATCAGTGTTAAGATTTCTGTGGACTGAAACCAGCCCAACCTCAGAGGAGGACTGAGGGATATTTATAAAGTCTCCTACACTGACTGTGACGCAGTAGAAACCATGATGAGGTGTGGGAGAGTTCTGAGTATTAGATAAGGATTAAAGTGGAAATGGGGGTAGATCATTTATGTGACTTGTTTTGAGGAGGCAGGTAGTATAAGATTTCCTTTTTAGTATTTAAAAATGGTTGAGCTGCACTTAGTGTATTGCTTAGCATGTTATATTTTTAACTGTTGAACTGGTTGTATCAGTTGATCAAAACTGTTATTGTCGGTTAACGTTTTTTCATTTAAATCTTTATTAAAACAATTTTTGTGACATTAACATATCAGTTACAACAGCATACTACAATAATGAAATAACTGACAAATAATAAGAGCTAACAAAACTAAAACTGCTTGGGTAAATGCACAATTTTACAGCCTTAAGGATTAGTGTATCTATTGATTATTATTATTATTATTATTATATTTTGAGTCTTGTATAGAGTCTGTTTTTCCCATTTTCTTTCTAGTTGTGCTTCTTGTCATCTCAGCATTTGTGTCAATTTCTTCATTAAAAGTTGGTTAACAATTTATTATTATTATTATTATTATTATTATTATTATTATTATTATTATTAACATCCCTAACATTAAAGGTCCAGTGAAAATAAGAAGTGACACACTGGCTCTAGATAGGGCCGTTTACGTTTTCGCATTGGCCAGCATAGTTAGCAGCCCCTGTGCAACAAGAGCGTAGGAAAAACACTGATTTCTTTTTTTACGTGAGACTGCTTTATTTGGTGTTCTTACCAGTTTTAACCCCCTGGTCTGTTTGTTTTGGAGAGGAAGAGACATCTGTGTATAGCTTGGCACTTGAACATTGAACACTAAAGGAATTCCAACCAGGAGCAGTTTCAGCTGGTTGAAATCTGCAATCCTTAAGCGGGATGAATACTTGTGCCTCAGCTCTACGCCATAGCCTACCCACGTGACTTAGGCTATTGTGAGCATTTATACTTGTGTGGTGGTGTGTCTGAGTCACTCTGCAGCTACACCTCCAAAACACTAGTCAGCGGCGGGGTCTCTGTCAAGTGCTGTGGAGTTTAGTTGATTCAAAACATACATTAAACACACATTAAACATGGCAATTAGAGACAGTTTCAAACACAAGTACACAAATCAGCTTCACTATAACTCGCAGCATTCACAGACAAACACTTGTCTTTATCTGGACACATTTTCCCCACAAATACAACATGCTAATGTTTTTAGCACAAGCCTATGGCATTTTACATTGTATAAATTAGCCTAACAGCTAGCAGACTTCTGGATAAATCACACACAAGACTTAAAATGCTATTTTTGTGGAGGCTTTATTGTCTTCACAATCTTTTTTTTTCTTATCTGTAAAATTAAAATAAAAGCTTCGTTTGTACAGAGGGAAATGGTTTCAGCTTACAAAAATTGACAGGTGGTCTGCATCACCGTGGCATGTAGTTACTGTTTTTGGGGAGGTGCATGTCCGGCTATGGCGTAGGCTTCTCCATAGGTAAAGCGTCGATTTGATGCATAAGTATAAATAAGGCTTTATCGCGAGACGCCTCTAAATCCCCCAAAATCTTACTGACTTCTGCAGGGCTCTTAGGTGGCTTCTAAAAGACATTGATTTGCAGATTAAAAGTGTAGCCATCATATCAGCTGTAGCCAGTCACTTTGCTTTACAATGCCTGTGGCGTATCTCACATTTATTGTGCAGTATTGATGTTAGAAACCCCTCTGTAAGCTTTGGCCACCTCTTTATGAGGAACTTGCATGCTTCTATGTCGTGTCCCCTACAGGTGGGAGGATTTATTTCTTCGATATCACCCAGAACAACATGAACGCAGCTTTCTGCACCCCACAGAAAGTCCATCACAATAATAACTCATTAGAAAAATGATTTAATTAGGTCATGGTTATCAAGCGTTCCCTAAACATCTCTGCACCTTTCCTGAAGTTTGGCTGAGATTGGGCTTTTTGTCTGAGTTTACTGTTTACTGTCTTAAAAATTGCAGCAAAAATATGTTAGTCTTCATCATTTTTGTCCGGTGATGAGTAACTTTCTCCTCTGAGATGTTTGATAAAGATGAGCTGTGTTTAGCGGAGTTATCAGTAACCTCACTGAGTCAAATAACTTTGTGCATCTTTCCACACCAACTCAAGGAAAAAGTAGAATGAATACAGATGTCCTCCTGGTTTGGAGGATTTCCCTGCCCCCTCCTCCACACTGAGACGTTGGCTGATGTGATTATCCTAATGATCAATCTGAACGGAAGACCATTAATTGGTGAAGGTCAATTAGTGCTTTTAATAAGGTCGTGGTCTGTGTGATTCCACGAAGAAGACCCTCCTCTGCTTTCCAGACTTCCTGAACAGAAGTGAATTAACAAGTGTGTGTGTGTTTAGGTTCTACAGAAGCGATGGCGAGAGCCCCGCGGAGTCAAGCAGTGAACCATTATTCTCCGTCAACAACAGTGGAACAAGCCGGACGCGAGGTTCTGACAGACCAGGGTGAGAACTTGCAAATGACAAAACACCAGTAATGTAATGAAGAAGAAATTTTATTTGTGATTCCTCATTTGAGTACTGAAATTTGTGAATTGTATTTGCTTTTATTTCAAAATAAGAGCACACCGTCATTCAATGTAACTTCAACTTAAATCAACAAATCAAGTTTTTGACTTCCTTCAAAGAACCAAATTATCAGGATGAGAATAAACGGGATTATTTTAGCTGATCACAGCAGCCTGTTAGCCTTTGACATGTTTGACTAACTGTGGTAGGATGTCAAGTTCTTCCACTGAGCATGAATGTTCTTTGAAATCCTAAGATGCACCATGTGACCAAAAATTAACCAATACAAACAAAGTTAACAGAGAAGGCTTTCAAAGAGAGCTGCAGGTTGACTTCTGAAAAAAAAAAAGAAAAAGTCTTTTATGAATTAAAACTACTGTTTGTAAAATTGGATCGATTTTGGTTTTTAACCAGTGTAACAGATGATGAGTATCTACCTCATCTCAAAACATTATATAAGTTGTTTAGTTTTTTGTCATTTTCGTTGTGCTGCACTAACCCAAAATTTTCTGTCTGTGATGTTTCTTTAGTCCCAATCGTTCTGGCTGGAGACTGGACAGAGACATGGGTTTGATGAACGCAATTGGTCTTCAACCACGACACCCCGCCCCTTCAGTGACATCACAAGGAACTCAGACACCAATCATCCAGCTGCAGAACGCTGAGACACAAACAGAGAGGGACCTATCAGAGCCTAGCGTCTCACAGCCTGCACCCAGTACTGAAACTCTATAATACCTTCATTATACTGATGATACTTACATTGTAATACTAACTCTCTAATACCTTCATTATAATAACACTATAGTGTCTTCACTGTAACAGGCAATATACAATACTGACAATGAAATGTTACACTCTGATGTAGTGACATCATTTTTATGCCTCCACCCTGGCGATTGCCATGGCTGGAGGCAATATGTTTTCAGGTTGCTCATACGTACATACATACGTAGGTGCGCCCGCCCGTCCCATTCTCGTGAACAAGAAGGCCTTGACGGATTTTTTCCCAAATTCAGATTTGGTGGTCAAAGGTCAAGGTCACTGTGACCTTGCGTCCATCTCATTCTTGTGAACCAGATTTCGCAAGAATACCCTGAGGGAATTTCTTCAAATTTGGCACGAACATCCACTTGGACTCAACAACGTACTGAGTGGACTTTGACAGTCAAAGGTCAAGGTCACTGTGACCTTGTATCCATTAATCTCGTGAACACATTATCTCAAGAATACCTTGAGGGAGTTGCCTCCTTCAGTGGTTTTGGTGGTCACAGGTCAAGGCCACTGTGTCCTCATCATTCTCATTCTTGCAAACACAATATCTTAAACACCTAAATGGAATTTCTTCAAATTTGGCACAAACATCCACTTAGACTCAAGGATTGAGATGATTAGAATTTTGCAGTCTAAGGTTAAGGTTACTGTGGCCTTGCGTTTGTCTCATTCTCATGAACGCAATATCTCAAGAAGGCCTTGAGGGAGTTTCTTTATTTTGCGGTTTTGGTTGTCTTGGGGGCAAAAGTCAAGGTCACTGTGACCACATCTTTCTCATTCTTGCAGACATGATATCTCAGAAACACCTTGAGGAAATTTCTTCAAATTTGGCACAAATGTCCACTTTGACTCAAGGATGAACTGAAATTCTTGTTAAGGATTAATCAAGAAAATAATTGTTTACGGTCCTGCATCCTCCAGTCTTGAGTCTGTACGCGTCTTTTGTTTTGACGTCAGGTGAAACCTTTTCTTATTTTTTGTATAGACTGGATATAAAGGAAAACTCTTCAGGAGACCGTTGAAAGGTTTCACTGTAAGAAATCGATGCTACCACAGGGAGTCATATATACAGCACAGTGTATCCAGTGATATCAAACACTTGTTTTATACTGAGACTTGATTTTATCGTAGTGAGACTGGAGGTTGTGTTAAAGGATCATTGATGTGCCTTCTTTCCTCAGATGTTGCTCCTGAGACTCCGTCCACGAGTGGAGCAGCTCCAGGGCAGCAGGAGGCATCTCAGACCAGCAGAGCAGCTGATGGCAGCCAGGGCGAAGCCTCAGCCGACACAAACACATCCGCTACTTCTACTGGTACTGCCCCACACTGACACATAAACACCATGTGTTCCTCTGCAGTATCTCCTAAATTAAACTCATTCCCTAATTTCAAAATAAGTTCTGTGGTGTGCTTTAAGTTGACACAAGTTTTGTTTGACTGTCATGTGTTTTGAGGAACTACAAGTCGGTTTTATTGTAGTTCTGTTTTCTTTCACTTCTTTCTGTGAAACTTGAAGTGATTGAGCTTAATGTGGGCTCTCATTGACTGTAAGACAGGGATACTCAGTGTGCTTTGCACAAGGGCTACTTCTGCAAAATAACGAGGCCTGAGGCCACCAATTAAAAAGAAAAATTAATATATTTGTGAAGTTAGCAGTTGTTAGTTTGATTCCACTGAACAGAGGAAATATATGTAAGTGTGAGCACACATGTTATTGTATGTTAAAGATGTGAAGTAAAATCCGTGGTGTGTGTGAGGGTAATATTATCATGTTCCCAATGCTAATTTCAGTTAGCATAATTTAATTAATTAATTAATGTAATGTGTTGGCATTGAGGTAGTTAACCAAGCTAGTCATTTGCCACATGATTGTAGCAGTTAGGAAAAGAGTTTGGTTTATAGCTATGGCTAATCATCATACTGTAACCTGTGACAGGCTGTTATTACTCTCGATTCTTGGTCTGACCTCTGTTGTTGCTCTCATTGGTCCAGGAGAGTCTCCAGAGTTCGGCACGGGTGAAGACGCTCTGGCACGGATCCGCCGGCTGATCGCTGAGGGTGGTATGACAGCTGTGGTCCAGCGGGAGCAGAGCACCACCATGGCCTCCATGGGCGGCTTCGGAAACAACATCATCGTCAGTCATCGCATCCACCGCGGCTCCCAAACGGGCACAGGGGCCTCCAGGCCTGCGGCGGACCCCTCTATGGCCCCCTCCACCTCAGGTCCTCTCCTCATCACCCAACCACAGACCTACGCCTCACCCCAGGCTTCCAACCCGTCTGAACAGCTCGCCCCCATGTGGGACTCCCAGGTGCTGTCGGGCCCTCAGCCCTCTGGCCTCTCTCTGGCCATGGACATGGACGACGTGTTTGACGGGGGGCGAACGGACGACGACTCCATGCCGGGTCCCTCCTCTTCCTCCCTGCTGTTGTCTTCCCCCTCTTCCTCCTCCTCCTCCTCTCACAGCCCCCTCCCCGGCAGCGGGGACGGCCCCAACAGTTACCCTGGCGATCCGTACAGCAGGTAGTTCTCCTATTGGCCAAGACAAGCAGAGCGTTGGCTGATGGGTTTAGCAAAGGGCGCTCCTCAAAGCCTTATCTCACTGGGTGCTGCTTTGACTCTGCACAGGGTTTCCCGCCTGGAAAAGAAGGGACACAAGAACCCCCCCCCCCTCACCCCCACCCCCACCCCTGAACCGTCAGTGGCATTGGCGTGCACTTCCTCTGCACTTATAAAAACTGGACTGAAGCTGAACCGCGACCATTCCTCATCAGAAAGGGTTTCTACTTGAACGGAGGCCAGTTAGCGCTGAGCTCCTCTCTGCCCGACTCTCTAAGTATCTGCGTGATGGAAGACAAGGTTCCTGTTTATCAAAGTGCCATGTCTGAGGGGGTGAGGGGGTATGTGTGTGTGAGTGTGCGCGTGTGTGTGTGTGGGTTCGGGGCGGTATCTCTTTACACACACACACACATTTACTCCAACGTGCTGCATTCGGTGCCATGTGATGTTGAAATTTGATGTGAAATAGTGCGTGATTGAAGTGTTTAAAAAGTGAATTCAGCACTACTTTATTTTGTTTTTGTACCGTGTGTAATTATGATGTTTGAAAAGAAGAAATGGAGGCTGCGCGTGCCTGAGGCTGGACTCACGACTCTGCATCCTGACTCTGTATCTTGACTCTGCATCATTATTCTGTATCTTGACTCTGTAGGATTACTCCGTATCATGACTCTACATCACAACTCTGAATCATGACTCTGCATCTTGATTCTAAATTATGACTGTACGCTGACTCTGCATCATGACTCTGTATCCTGACTCTGAATCATGAGTCTGCAGCTCATGGAGGAAGTTACTGTGTCCCACCACCAGGAAAATCAATCATTGATGACTGAACTGTGACTGAGTGAACTGAATCTGCTGCATGTCTTTTCAACGATGCTGCAGTTCATGAAACAAACACCTTTTTTTAATTGTTTGTAAAAAGGCTGAAGAGGAGAAGAACAATTTCCTGTTTCTGGGAGGGAAACCAAACACCCACCCCTCTAAAAACCCAGTTGCACTATAGTGTGTTTGCTAAGAGAGGCGTGTGTGTCTGTGTCCGTGTGTGTTTGGACCCCGGCAGGAAAGATTTTGCTAGAAAGTTCAGCTATCTAATTACCTGTTGATCTTTAGATTATTCTCTCAAATAATTGTTTTGTAGGCAGATTGTTGGTTTTCGTTCATTTTTGTTTGGTGTGAAAATTAATAAGCAAATTGTTGAAACCTGCTTCAGTTGTGAGATCAGTGTACATATAAGTCAGCATTCAGTTTATTCATGGTGATGATAATGTCAAAAAATTAACAGACTTGATGTTGACGATTTTAATTTTCATACCATAAAGGAATAAATGAAAACCAATAGTTGCCTTGAAAATGATTGAAGGATAAATTTGGCATCAACTCTCATGTTCAGACTCAAACAGTCTATCTCTCAGCTCCAAGCTCATTTCATTCCTACTTAAGATATTATAAATCACAAATCTGTAGTTTGATCATCGGTCACGTCCTCAAACAGCTGCTTATAGTCATTTTTATAGTGACTTTGTTGGGGACTATTTTCAGCAGCGGATTAATTAGTGAGTATTTGTGGCAGCAGGACGGTGTTTGTAGGACTGAGTCAAAATAAACAACAGTGTGTAGCAGGGTTGGAAATTAACCTTTTTGTCCATCTGCCACTGTGGCTGGTGGGCTCCAAAATCCACCGGCCACTCATTAGATTACCTTTGTGTTTTTTGGCTGATGAGTGAAGCACATCGAGCAGCCACTTACAGATTTTACCAGCATTTTGCGAGTGCTAATTTCCATCCCTGGTGGGCAGTGTTTATAACTGATAGTTAACTGATTTCTCACTGCTGGTTTGAGTCTGAACATAAAGAGGAAGATAGAATATCACCAGACTTCTTTGAAAACTATGACAAAATTTAACCTACATTTGAAAACAGTCGACAAAATGTTAAAATACAAGTGTAGAAGTGTATTCTGCTCACACAGAGACAAAATATTTGTGTATAAAAGATGCTGGGTGGGTGTGCTCCTGTAAGAGTGTGTGTCTGTGTGTGCAGTATGTTGTGGCGGGGAGGGCAGGAGACACATGTAGCTTTTCTCTGCTGCTGACTGTCACCTCTTTTCCACTGCAGGAACTAGAACCTCTGCTCTATCTGTTTCCACAGTGTTTTAACAACCCAGAAAGTGTTTTGGAAAATTAGAGATGGTGGGAAAATGGCGCTAATATAGACTTTCTTTAACATTAACATGATTCAACGGTCAGTATCATCACATTCACAGTACAGGCTCTCTGCTCTGTACCATTAACTAACATGACTCTAAGTTCTCTCTTGTATTTCCTACGAATATTTGCTTCGTCTCCTGTTCGCCCTCTGTTGAAGCCTGAATGATGAGCAGATTCAAGTTTGCGTGTCCTGTTTAAAGCGTTTCAGTGAAGGCTGCGACACACTCTTTGACCCCATGGGAGCTATGGCGTATGACCCATGTAATGTAACTGGAGCTGCGTCGTTGGAGGGTTACAGCAGACAGTGCTACAAATAAAGGGATGGTGTCTGCTCAGGTGCCCTTTCAGGTGCACTTGGCCGGACAGAACTTTGGACTCAATTGAATGGCGGCTGATACACAATAGCATATTTGCATATAGAAAGCATTTGTTTATGGTCTTTTATTACTGACTTTATCAATATTTACAGAATTGAAATGCTCACCCATATCTTTTTTTTTAAAAAAATTCCGACCCAAGGCGGACTGCGGATGCCTCAGTGAAACGAATCGCTCATAACTATATTCTACATTAGTGCCCCAATTTTTGAGCCTTTCGACAGCTGCACACCACATTTCACTGTGCAGTGATAGGACGTCACGACTTATCTTTTTAACCTCGTTTCAGTTCGATCTCAAGCCGCTCCAGTGGATTTACAGCTCTGTGGGCAAATAGAAACACCGCGCTGCGTTTGTAAATGAATTATTCTTATGCGTTTCCTCTTTATTCATCTTTCTCATTGAATGGAAAAGTGATCGAAGCTTTATAGGATGTAGAGGTGACGGTGAAGAAACTGACCGGTGGAAATCATTTCTGAACCTTTTCTCTTTTAGGAGTAATTAAAGAGATGGTAGTGTTTGTTCCCCTGCTGCTAAGTATGAGAAGAAAATGTTAGAGACAGTGCCAATGCCACCTGGCAGTTACTGGGAAATTAATTGAACTTTTTACACACACCTGCAGAACAAGCAGCAAAAAACACAATATTATGAATCAGAATTTGACCTCTATATCCATGTGTACATATCTGCGATATTAACAAACACTGTTTGAGCCCAGATTTAGGTCCAGAAACTTCCCGACACCACAACGAAAGCAGAACCAGAGCTGATAGATACACCTTTATTTACAGCTCGTTTAGTTCCTGTGGTGGAAAAGGCCTGTGATCGGTGTCTCCATGCTTAACCCCACCTGTCGTGTCTCCATCTGCCCCTCTCTGGCCCCTCCCATGTCCCTTTGACCCCACCCACCACCCTCCACCCTCTCCTTCAAACTCCTGCAGAAGAAAACTTGAATTTGTCAGATCAAGTGCTCCTTTTCCTTTCCAGCCTGAGACTGTACAGCCGAAAGCTCTGAGCTGCTTTTAATTTGTTTTTTTATTCCTATTCCACACGTGCTTACACACACACACACACACACACACACACACAGAGCTGCATAAAAGTTCATGTACTGATGGTGTTTAAGTTTTGTATGTGTGGGTTTCCGGGTGGTGGTGGGGTGGGGTCGGGGTGGGTGAGGGGTTGGGGGGGTGTAACGGACATATGAAAATGAAGATGACGAGGAGGGAGAGCCCTGACTGGAGCTGTGCAGAGACACTGTGTGATTCGGAGATAGAGCTGTTTACTTTTTATTTTTTATTTAACCTTTCTTTCCTGCAGGTTAGTCCAGGCGAGATCAGGGATCTCGTTTCTGTGGCGACCTGGCGAGGACAGTGGCTGCATGTTAAGAATCTGTCTGAGAGAGAAACACAAACACAGCAGGTGACAAACTGATCTGAATGCTCCTCCTGGCTTTACTTGATTAATGAACATTTTAAAAACAATGTGTTCGGGTGATCTCGTGTCTGTTTTGTGTGTATGTTTGTGAGGGTTATTGGGGCGGGGGCGACTTCTGCCCCCCCGTTTCCTGTGAATGATGAACTGAGCACCACCGTATTCAACAATGCAACCGGTCAATAACAAAGGTACAACTGTCACCACTTCCCCTGCTACATCAGACTGTGGAGTTTGTACAGCTCGATTCTTTCTTTGACTTTTAGACGTGATGTAATTAAAGAGCTTTGAGAGTTTTTCTGTGATCCATCGAGTTGTTGAAGATTATTTAGTGAAGCTTCCTCGAGTTTCTGAACACTTGTGGTTTTAAGCTGGGAAAATATCCAAATCTCTTTATCAGATCTTTAATCTCCTGTTTATCTTTTATTAGCAAACTCATGTAAAAACACACTCAGGTAGTCATTTAGATTAACAACTAATAAATAATTTATCAGGCACAACCTGAGTTTTAGTTCTTTGGCTGTTTGTCTCTGAGTTCATGAACTCTTTTAAGGTTCTGTATGTAACTTTCTAGAAAGTCCTTGTTATCAGTGACTCCTCTCTCTGAGGCCGTTAAATGAACAGCAGTCAGCATCCTGTTTGTGCTTGTTAGCTGCAAGCTAGCACCTGGGCATTGGCCAAAACAGTGACAAACATGAGACTGACAGAGATTGACCGTCATCCTGTTGATAGAATGCTGGAAAATAAATTGCAATTGTATTTAGAATAACGTTATTATCTGTAATTGTTACTATATTTTATTTGGACCCTTAGCTTCATGATACTAACTAGCTTGCTGTTTGAAAATTACATTGATCTATTGTTGGTTGCTTCATAATCTCAGCTAATAAAGGAGAGCAGCTTTACAGCTAGCTGTCATAAATTAGCTTAGGTTATGGTTAGCTTGTTTACTGCTTTGGTTGGTTGCTTTGTAACGTTACCTAATGAAGGCAAAACTTAGCTTTGTTCATGGTTAGCTCGTTGGCCACCCAGCTAGCTGTAACTTAGCTACGCTACATGAATCTGCTGTTGGTTGCTTTGTAACGTTACCTAATGAAGGCAAAACTTAGCTTTGTTCATGGTTAGCTCGTTGGCCACCCAGCTAGCTGTAACTTAGCTACGCTGTGTAGATCTTGTGTTGGTCACTTCGTAATGTTAGCTGATAAAGTAATTTCCAAACCACCCCCTGGAGTCTGGATGAGTTAGCTAACATTTAAATTTACAGACATACATTTAAATTTAAATATACATACAGAACCTTTTAAGTTTTGTTGAAGATCGAAACTGAAAAAGAATTTAAAAGGATTCAAATATAAGACAGTGAGTCAAATAGCAAAAATATACAAAATATATTGTACAAATATTGTAAAAAGGAATCCTAAGTTTTTTTATATAAACATTTTTTTTCCTGTATTTTCATTCAATTATAAATGGAGCAGGTCACTGTTAACTGAGTGGCGATAACCCATCCATCAGATGGATGGTCCAGTGGACTGACTGACAATTTGATTTTAAATTGGGAAGTTGTTTTTACAGCAGTTAGCCAGACATTTCATGGAAACAGTAAATACACACGAAATGTACAGTACAGGCCAAAAGTTTGGACACACCTTCTCATTCAATGCGTTTTCTTTATTTTCATGACTATTTACATTGTAGATTCTCACTGAAGGCATCAAAACTATGAATGAACACATGTGGAGTTATGTACTAAACAAAAAAAGGTGAAATAACTGAAAACATGTTTTATATTCTAGTTTCTTCAAAATAGCCACCCTTTGCTCTGATTACTGCTTTGCACACTCTTGGCATTCTCTCCATGAGCTTCAAGAGGTAGTCACCTGAAATCGTTTTCCAACAGTCTTGAAGGAGTTCCCAGAGGTGTTTAGCACTTGTTGGCCCCTTTGCCTTCACTCTGCGGTCCAGCTCACCCTAAACCATCTCGATTGGGTTCAGGTCCGGTGACTGTGGAGGCCAGGTCATCTGCCGCAGCACTCCATCACTCTCCTTCTTGGTCAAATAGCCCTTACACAGCCTGGAGGTGTGTTTGGGGTCATTGTCCTGTTGAAAAATAAATGATCGTCCAACTAAACGCAAACCGGATGGGATGGCATGTCGCTGCAGGATGCTGTGGTAGCCATGCTGGTTCAGTGTGCCTTCAATTTTGAATAAATCCCCAACAGTGTCACCAGCAAAACACCCCCACACCATCACACCTCCTCCTCCATGCTTCACAGTGGGAACCAGGCATGTGGAATCCATCCGTTCACCTTTTCTGCGTCTCACAAAGACACGGCGGTTGGAACCAAAGATCTCAAATCTGGACTCATCAGACCAAAGCACAGATTTCCACTGGTCTAATGTCCATTCCTTGTGTTTCTTGGCCCAAACAAATCTCTTCTGCTTGTTGCCTCTCCTTAGCAGTGGTTTCCTAGCAGCTATTTGACCAAGAAGGCCTGATTCGCGCAGTCTCCTCTTAACAGTTGTTCTAGAGATGGGTCTGCTGCTAGAACTCTGTGTGGCATTCATCTGGTCTCTGATCTGAGCTGCTGTTAACTTGCCATTTCTGAGGCTGGTGACTCGGATGAACTTATCCTCAGAAGCAGAGGTGACTCTTGGTCTTCCTTTCCTGGGTCGGTCCTCATGTGTGCCAGTTTCGTTGTAGCGCTTGATGGTTTTTGCGACTCCACTTGGGGACACATTTAAAGTTTTTGCAATTTTCTGGACTGACTGACCTTCATTTCTTAAAGTAATGATGGCCATTCATTTTTCTTTAGTTAGCTGATTGGTTCTTGCCATAATATGAATTTTAACAGTTGTCCAATAGGGCTGTCGGCTGTGTATTAACCTGACTTCTGCACAACACAACTGATGGTCCCAACCCCATTGATAAAGCAAGAAATTCCACTAATTAACCCTGATAAGGCACACCTGTGAAGTGGAAACCATTTCAGGTGACTACCTCTTGAAGCTCATGGAGAGAATGCCAAGAGTGTGCAAAGCAGTAATCAGAGCAAAGGGTGGCTATTTTGAAGAAACTAGAATATAAAACATGTTTTCAGTTATTTCACCTTTTTTTGTTAAGTACATAACTCCACATGTGTTCATTCATAGTTTTGATGCCTTCAGTGAGAATCTACAATGTAAATAGTCATGAAAATAAAGAAAACGCATTGAATGAGAAGGTGTGTCCAAACTTTTGGCCTGTACTGTATATCAGTAGAAAAATAAACAAAAAATAAATCAAAATATCTCAATACAGAAAAGAAGAAAAAAACATAGTCTACTCAATTTCAATAACTAAAGAAATAGCTATAAAACAGGATAGCATACTACATATAGAGAAGTGTGTTAAGTTTATAGAAGTGCAACAAGGTAGAGTAGGAGTGTAAAAATGTGCAAATTCATCATGTGTGAGGTTACTGAAGGAGCAAAACAAAGATTGGTTGAGGTTTTGTGGAATGTTATTGCTTTTAACGTCAATTATATCATAAGTCACGTAGTGCAACAACACAACACAACGCATCATATGTACTGTATGAGTTATTTTTGACCAAATTAGTTTTTCAGAATTATCAGCTGCTGTAACTCTGGAGAAATGCTGTCTACACATGGATACAAACCAGAAACAACAAGTTTTATAAATCCATTTAATTCTTAAATAAAGAAAATAATCTAAAAAAAAAAAAAAGACAGTATTTCATGTTGTGTCTCTACTGTGCAGTAAGAAGTGTTGGTCCCCACATTGAACCAAAACCAGCTGTGTGCTGCTGCTGCACACCTCTAGAGTGAACTGAACTCAGCTGAGAATAACGTCTTATCTCATTATGTACATGAAGTGATAAAAACATTTTCAAAGCCAACAATAACTTCTTTTTTTTTCATTTAACCATAACTGGAGTAGGTCACTGTCACACCGTTAGTCACATAGTGCAACATTTTGTATAAATTAGTCTTTTCTTTTCGGTAACGTTAGCTGCCATGGCTGTTACAGTTTCTATAAATCAGTTTCATTATTAAATGCAATAAAATACTATTATGAAGAAAAACATCTGCAATAATTAAGCTGTCTCCACTACACCTGTAAAAACTGTTGGTCCCCACATTGAACCAAAACCAGAAATGTGCTGCTGTTGCTGCTGCACATCTCTAAGTGAACTGAACTCAGCTGAGAATAACCGTTTTCTCTCATCATGTGATTGATGTCATAAAAACATTTTCAAAGACTACAATTTTTTTAATTCAACCATACCTGGAGCAGGTCAGTGTGAGTAACGTAGTGCAACACAAAGCACGGATCTGTGTAACCAAATGAGTTTTTCAGTATCATCAGCTGCTCACTAACAACTCTCAGATACAAAACCAAAATAGCTTTTATAAATTAGTTTCACTCTTTCAAATAAAAACACTCTTGAGAAGAAAAACAATATTTAGCTGGGACTTCATTGAGCCTGTGAAACTGTGTTGGTCCCCACACTGAACCAAAACCAGCTGTGTGGTACTGCTCTTCAACTCTAAAGTGAACTCAGCTGAGATTAACTTCTTCTCCAAACACGTTATTGTTATATTTTATTATCCAGTGAATCATGTGTTGCGTTGTGTTAACAAAAGGAAGTGTATACATCATGTACTCAATTTTTAAAATGTTTAAAAGGTTTACTTCAAATGCTTTAACAAGACAAACAGAGGCTTTAACACACTCAATTATGAGTCATTTGAGACGGCTCAGTGAAAACAGAAGGTGGATATCCTGACTTTTAGTCCAGTCACATTGGATCTTACATTTCCCATGATGCAACTAGATGAGTTCTTTTATTAGACACACGTCTTTAGAATTCCACAAACTCCAGATTATTATTTATGCATATTATTACATTATCCAAGTTATTTTCTCAGACTTGGAACTTTAAACAACACTTTTACAGGCTGAGTTGAACTAAACATGAGTCACGTGACCTGTTTAAACTGCTTAATGTTTGAAAATATAAGAACACTGAGTCCCTCTCCATGAGTTTACATCATTTGATCCACCATCTCTCTGTTTCCACCTGATGGTTTGACTTATGTCTGCTGAATGTTGTGTTTATGGTGTGTTTATAAGGATCAGAGTGTGCGGACAGAACTGAACTGTACTGCACATGCTCAGTCCAGGCTGAAGCGTGTAGTCCTAAAGAATCAGTTACAGTGTTAACATGTTCATAACTCCCACTTTATGGAACAGAATTTGATCACAACATGATCTAAGATCAGATCCAGATCTTCTCTCACAGGCAGCAGCTCTTTATCGTCCTCTCCGCCCTGATTAAAGGGGACATTACTCAGGGAGTCAGACTTGATGCTGTGCAGGGAAGAGCTAACAGACCTGCAGATCAACACACAGTAAAAGATCCTGACTGTGTTTAAACACTTTATTAATGGTGGAAGGAAGCACAGCTCGGTCTGTTCTCAGAGTAATGTG